AAATACATCCAGGACGAGGAAGTTCAGATGCGCGAATAACCATAGCGCCATCCAGGTTATCATGAACTGGGCGCCGTTAACGTGCCAGCCGTATCGAAAGGCCCAGATGGCGCCGGTCGTGCAGAGCGAACCGATGAAGGTGTATGTCGCTGAGATGAGCTGCCGGATGATGGCGATGCGATGCGCGTCAACCGAAGTGTACAGGTGGAATTGCTGATAGAGACCATTGAGATAGCCAAGGTAGAAGAACTCTTGGATGAGGATGAGGATGACGACTAGAGTGTTGTAGATGAGGCGGGAACCTTGGGTGGTGGGTTGGATGTTGATAGTGGAGAGCGTCCAGGGGTCAGCGAGGGTGGCGATGGCTGTCTGGTCAGAGGTGTTCATAGTTTGAAGGATGGCAGGGCCGTTGGTAGTGGTGTAGATGATGCGAGCAGCTTCAGATAACGACAGGATGTTGGACTCGAGAGCAGAATCTACGACGGTGGAGTAGCGCGCCTCATTCCAGACTAGGGTCATGACATCACTTGTATTGTAGGTTGCTGTCCCGATGCCGGTGAGAGCAGCTGATAGGCGCGAGGAAGCATTCTCGACGATGTACAGACCTCCCCAGTAGTGAATATTGCAGACGGTGGAGACGATCGACGCAGGATTGGGATAAGCCTGGACTGACTGTTCGCGGAGGGTCGGGAAGCCGGACCCTTGCAGCTGTTGGTAGGCAGCGCGCACGGCCCGACCGATGGCCCCGCCATCGTAGTCAACGAAGAGGACATTGAGATTATGAATATGAGTGGTCTGTTGAAAGATAGACCCGAACAGATAGCAGAACAGACCAAGGAAGAGGAGTTGTAAGATGAACAGGTTGATGGTGGCAGCTTTGAGGACGGCTAGACGCAGCGGGCGCACCTCCGGGTCGTGGATGCTGCGGTGAGGGCGTTGACGAGCAGCGGCATACAATGCCATGGGTGTATCCTAGGGGCAGTCCAATTTTCTTCTGTTGAGATATAACCTCCAGAGGTCGTGAAGATACGGCAATCTCCCGGTGGTAGTGAGTTGAGGGTTGGGCCGGAATCGCGGGGAAAGTCCAGTCGGAGGGAGATTCCATGGTTGAGCGATGGATACGAGATCCGGTCGTTGAACCTTGTTTGTTCCTTCTTTGGAGGGGTTAGTCATCGGATTAGACGGATAACTACGGGACCTTGGTTAATCTCGAAAGACATTCCTCTGTGCCCTCTATAGCAGTGCATATGTGTAAAAGTGCTGTCTTAACAGTGCTTCTCATAGATACTAAATACAACTTCCGAGGCCCACTACCAAATTGAGCGGAAGTACCCCAGGGCTTCCGGTTGAGAACCAGTGCCCTGTCGGTAGCACAGAATATGCAGATCAGCTCAAATCTCCCGTCTAGTACTACTGAACAAAACAATCATGTAGGATAAGCAGTAGCAGACAGCCGAATTGAAGGGCAGAACCACGCAAATTCCCAATATGCTTGCCATTCGGCAGTCATAATATCTCCAGCACTTGGACCTTCGCGTCTCTCCCATAGGATCCCAGGCGCCGACGAGTAGGAATGACCTACAGAGAGGAACAGGGACACCTAATTAATAAGGGGCAGATCCCGAAAAGCTCTTCGTTCGCTTGTATCTCAATCGAATCATCGGAAGCTGCATTACGTGGTAGGAGTAGTAGTAGTATCGTGTGTCAACTACACAACATATAAATATTACTACAGCTCCCACTGGTGCGTCAGCATCATGCGACTGGGTGACCACAGTTCCCATCAGTCATCATCAAAAATTTCCCATCGATAGAAAACATTTCCGCCCACGAACAGCTGCATAGTCATGTCACAAGGAGTCCATCTTTTACAGAGTGCTTGTTCTCTATGCGGGGACTGGCCAACAGGTGGTGAACGGATAATAAGTGAGCCTTTGGCCCCTCAAACCTCGCGCAGTACCATCTAACCCAATCGCAGACCTTGACGGGAACCAAGTATCTTTCCAGACTGTACGTGAGTGCGAGATTGAATGCAGAGAGTGTGATGAAGACCCAATTCCAGAACTCTGGATTCATACACGGTGTTATCAGCTTTTGATGGCCAGCTTCGACCCATCTGACAGACCCTTCATGCAGGATATAAAGGATTACGCTATTGACACGGAAGTACTTTATGGCAAGAGGTATCCACGTAGACATCCTGGAACAATTCTGGAAGGTCTCTCGTCTAAGCACACCTCATGCATAATCGCAGAGTCCTTCAAGCAAAGCTTTTTTGATAAATTGCCCCCGGAGATGCGACGCAGGATCGCAGGGTTCGTTGGATCATGTTGGTACTTGGCTGTCCTAGGCGAGGCCCACCGGCTCATTGACTATATTCGACAAAGCGAAAAGGATTTGAGTGAAGCGCTTGACCTCGACGAAGACTTGTGGATATCGCGGATTGTTTGCCAATATCATTGGTACCTATCACAAATCAGCAATATGCCAATTGAGGCGACTGAAGGAATGGAAGTTTTCCACATACAGCCACCCCAGACCATTCACAAGATCATCGCTTCAACGGACCAAATAGGTGTGCGTTGGATCCAGTTTCTCGACCGTGAAACTACTCCGACACAAGATCAGTCCCCATGGTACGAGATATACGACGTGGAGAATTTTGAACCAAGGCTGTGGGTTGTCCATGGAGTAAGCAACTCTATCCTCAGTATCTGGGCATCAGCTGACGTACTTAGCGTCTTATAATAAAGAAGATTGAAATCGACGATGACGAAGCAACACGTCTCTTGCCGTCGACGTGGACCTCCCCGAATACGCCCATTTTCCACCCATTACAAAATATCTGCTGCCCTTGCCACTTACAGGAGGCTAAATTTCACCATATGAAACTTGGAACCCCAGTAGAAGGCATTCTTGTCATCCGCGCAGGCGCCTATGACATAGTCGGGATCCACAACTTCTCGGGCCGGAACAAAGCGTTCTGGGAGTTTCTCGAACAGGTGCATGCCCGTGGAGGGCCACGGACGAACCCATCTTTATACTGGTTCTATTTCCCGTTGAATGACCAAGAGGATATCCTAATGGCTTGGGATCGGCAGTTGGAACATCCCGACGGACGAACAAACTTCGATGGTTTGATTGTTAGTGCTTCCATCTCACATCTGATCTCACGGACTGACCGGCTAGGTACAAACATCCTTCGGGAGGGATATGACATTCGGAGCGGTATATCCACCCGCCTTTACTAGAAGGAGTAAATACCGCCCTATGGTTCGGTACACTGATGGTCCAGTTTCCGGAATAATTCACGATGGCATGGATTTGAGGTTCCCAAGCGTGACGGTGTTCGGGGTTACCTGCCATAGCCCGCATGATGGCGAGACTCGAGCCCCGGTCCCAGTACGTTACGCTAATGGGCCTCCAGGGGCCCATCCCGGCGAGGACCTCGTACCATGGTATATGACCAAGGCCACATTAAGGGGCGTGACTAGGGTACAAGTGTGCAGGGACCGGACGCAGTCGCATCATCCTTGTCTGGGTATCTTGATGTTCTATGCCGATGGTCACATCGAGTCCAATGGACAAATTCGCTGGGATTATGGACTGGACGAAGAGACATGCAGTCCTTTCGTAGTCGCCTCAGGGGCGGTTAATGAAAAGGACACTATCAAGGACATCCGAAATGCAGAGGACCCAGTAGTGGCCACTGTGCATCGAGGTGGATGGAAACCTCTGCCTAGTCAAGGGATACTCGCATGGTGGTTTAGCGAGTTGGGCGACAGACTTGCCTTTTACTATGAGTAGTGGGTACTACATGGCTTTACAAAGCTTCCAGAAATCCAACCCAAGTTCACGTATACTCCAGCGCTAGGTAATTAGCACAACGCTTCCATTGAAGCGACGGCGCCTGTAGACCTGCCGAGAATAATGCGCAGGATGACCCATGCCATGTGAAATTGTGGCTTTATGGCCTACGCTTCTTTTCAGTGACTCGATGCATCCAAAAGCATCGAATAAGACAGATGTCAGTAGCAACATAGATAACTCGACTTCGTCTTCAACGGAATATTATTGAATGTCATCATGAGATCGAGGCTTCTACTATATCAGGTAATAGTCAAATCAGTGTCACAGGAGTCTTGACGTACATTGCGCAGACACATGATCAGGCAATCTTTGCTGCATCGTAGACTCTATCTACGGAGCATATGAGAGAGAAGACTGTTGGCTTATGGAACGAATAAAATGACCAAAATGGGATGAACAAAAATGCATCGCATGGTTATGATGCTGCATACAGCTTTTGGTACCAGTATCACTATCTCTGTCTCGATCCGAACATATGTGGAAGGCATCTCATCGACGAAGCCGAGCGTGAGGCTCGTATGAATGAATTGATATGATTCCTGGGATGATGGATAAGGTATCTTTGAAGGGGAGATGCGGCCCTCATATTCTAAGACTAGGATTCCATAAAACAGAAATTCAATTTTGGTAAACAATCACGTCGAATAACAGCTGCAACTAGTTAGTAGCAAACATGTCAAGGGCGACTTTATATGCTACCTGACCAGCACATAGAACGTATCAGACACACACTAAGCCTATTGTGGTTTAGTATCTATGCAGGGATGATGCCTTGGCTCATCTCACACATCCATTGTTTGCCTTGATACCACAACAACCACGGAGGATACCATGTTCTCCATATTGAGAGGGATCAGACGGATACGACAGTCGCAGCCAACAGCCCAGCTATCCATCCTTTGTCGTGGTAATTGCCCGTAAAACAACAAAGCGGCCATATCTACGTTACTCATATTCAAGTAGGAAAACCAATCAGCCGGGATGAACTCTTTGCATATACGAACGGCCATTTCCTGGTCGATGAAGAGCAACAGCTGGCTCGACGCTACGTAGATTTTGATCTCGATGCTCTCTGCAGTGTAGCTGCGGCTCTGGGTGACGTTCCATCTCCCGTGGCAAGCGTAAGCAAAATGGAGGGTGGATTTAGCAAGGCTCTCTTTATGGAGAAGGAGAAAGGTTGCGAGGTCGTTGCCAAAATCCCTTGTCGAATTGCTGGACCTGCAGGATGGACAACTGCATCCGAGGTGGGTGTCCTTAAATACTGTACGTCGTCCTTCGCTCTCTCCTTTTCCACCGCGTGTGATCACTGATGTGACTGTGTAGTACGCAGAATTACCACCATCCCAGTTCCCCGGGTTCTTTCGTGGTCTTCAGACAGGGGCAATCCCGTAGGCGCCGAGTATATCATGATGGAAAAAGCTAGTGGTGTCCCCTTGTTTCGTGTATGGGGTGACATGACAGAATTCGAGAAGTTGCAGCTTATTCAAAACTTGACCAAGCTCGAGGCGCAGTTATCAGCTATTCGTTTTCCTGCCTACGGTGGTTTATATTTGCGTGACCATCTACAGAGCTCAAAACCTCAATGTCTACTTCTAGATGACGATGTCGATCGATCGCAATCATTTTGTATCGGCCCTTCTCCTGACCGTCAATTCGACGTCCATTCGGACCATTCTAAAGATCAAGGCCCTTGTTCGTCTCTGCACCTCCAACGTTACTACTAAAGCTTACTATCCACAGGGACCACATTATCAGAACTTGGTATATCCATTGCAAAGCGCGAGCTATCCCGTATCTCAACGATACCAAACAAATCAGCCATGTTCTATCAAGGCACCTTGGAAGAACAAGCTCAGCTCCTCAACCTCACAATAAGTCTCACGCCCATGTTAGACTCTCATCCCTTACTAGGCCAATCCGCCCAGCCTACACTTTGGCACACCGATCTACACATGGGTAACATCTACGTGGCGCCCGACGACCGCACACAAATAGTCTCGGTCATTGATTTCCAGTCCATATCAGTTATGCCCTTATTCCTCCAGTCTCGATGGCCCGAGTTCTTAAAGCCCCCAGACAACTACACCCAAGGCTTCACGAGTCCTGAGCTTCCTGATGGGTACGACAATATGGACTATGAGAGCAAGTTGCTGGCCCGACGCGAATGGTCCCAGGCCAAACTAGCAAAAGCATACGAAGTCTCGACTTACCTTGAAGACAGACCTGCACATACTGCGAGGAACGTGCCGCGAGTGTTCCGAGAATTGTTCACCCGGTGTGGGAAGGTGTCTGAGGTGGGAGTTATCCCCCTCCGAGCTTGTCTAATAGAAATATTTCAGAACTGGTCCAACCTAGGCTTTACCGGGTCGTGTCCTTATTCCTTCTCGGAAGAAGAAATGAAGACGCATGAGCAACAGTTTTCTGAATACCAGGCTTGGCATGAAGTTCAGCATCTTGCACAGGAGTGTCTAGGTACAGACGCCGAAGGATGGATATCGCCCGAGTTAGACATCGAGGAGAAGCGACGCCAGAACCGGGAGTTACTGGCGATGTTTATCGAGCGTATGGCGGGAGAGAAGTCCCCGGAGGAGGCGAGGCAGATGTGGCCGTTTCCAGATGAAGCTTAAAGACCAGTGTACATTGATTACACAAATACATGGAGAGTAATAACACAGATCCACTCCACATACGCGTCTCGCGTCTCTCCCAAAACAACAACAATAGTCACCATCCACCCCGTCATAGCAAGCAAGGAACACTACCTTCCCAATATAGTTAGTCTATCCCCTTACTCATCAAATGACATAATCCACCACCCATTCCAATCTAACCCAATCCAGCAATTTTATTATGCAATATGAACCAATAGTGACCCTCTTAACTCTTAACTTGAAATTCCCCGTCCGTCCCCATCCCATCCCCCCCAGACTGAATCGCCTGTCCCCACAGTCCAACGTCACCGTCCTCCACGATGGGTCCTGACATGGCACAACTTGGCATATTATTATTCTCCTGATATTAATATCCAGGTGGGAAGTGGGATAGAGTCCACGTGTGTGACGTTGACGTATTCTTCTTCTTCCGGTAGTTGCCGGCCGGCAAGCATGAGTGGCCTAATCTCCGACCGGGGCTATGATGTTCGCCATGTACATTGTTGTAGTTTTTAAGGGATGTAAATAGTATTGTATTGTTTGGGTCTGGTACAGATTGTGTAATTGGATCTAATAAGTTTAATGATGCTGCGAGATTCTGGGGTAATGTAGTGTTGTGGAAGTTTGAAAACAGTGTGCTTGGTGGTGGATGCATATATATATTGTGGAGTGCGCAGTAGTACTATGAAGGATCAAACTAAGTATTGAACGTCGACGTCAAGGCTCCACAGTGGCCTTAACATCAGGTTTACAACTATGAGAAGCGTGGGTAGAATATAGAAGAAGATAATATTGTTCTAGAATCTAATTGTATCATAACGTCATACGGATGCATTTATATACAGACAGGCACTTTTCGGTAGGACTAGACTAGTGCGGACTATCCTCATCCGAGTCAAAGTGCTCGCGCGCCCAAGGACTGCGCAATCGAATGGCACGACCCTTGTAGAAGAAGATAAATGGAATCGGCACAAGCAGAATGGCGATAAATCCCAGCAGACTGGACGCCCACTCGTAGTCGAGCTTCTCGTACATCTGCGTAGCGAACAGCGGGAAGCCAGCACCGACAAGGTTCCGGACGAGAATAACACCAGCCAATGCAGAGGCAGAGTAAGTCTGGTAGCTGTCGACGACATAGTTGAGGATACTGAGGATGACGATGTAAAGACCCGCACCGAAGAAAGAAGACGCAATGATGGGGACGATCCAGTGCACGGAGCGGTAGCTGGTCCAGCCGAACCAGAACAGACTGATCGGGATGAGCAGCGAGCCGACACGGGCCATCCACATGCGCGCTTCCGGGACACTGCGGCCGCTGTTCTCGGCCACGCGGCGCAGGTAGTACCGCTCCTGCAGCGGGGACAGGGCACAGGCGATGATAGGGCCAATGGCCATGCCCAGGAAGCAAAGACCCTGTTGACCGACGTTGAAGCCGTGGCCGTTGGGTTCGCCAAAGACGAGAGGGAAGGCTTCGTTGAACAGGTAGACCAGCCCGTAGAGGAAGCCGTTGTAGATAGCGGAAAATGTGGTGATGGGCTCGGTGAACAGGAAGCGGAAGGGACGGGTGAGGGTGATCGCAAACAGCTGGTGCAGGCCCTTGCGGTCTTCTGCATGGAGGTCGGTGGTGGTCTCCGCGGAGCGCAATCCCTCGCGTTGCATCTGCTTACGCACGCGGGCGGCCTTGCGCTGCAGGATGATACTGTGGCGGGTTTCCGGGACAGTCAGGACCAGCGCAATCCAGGTGCCACCAGTGATGGCCATCATGATCCAGAAGATCCAGTGCCAGTTCAGGTTCAGGCCAATGTAGCCGCTGACCACCAGAGCCATGGGCGGGCCAAATGTGCTACTGAGACCGTAGAAGGCCATAGGGCCACCACTGTGGTTACGCTCCCACAGATCACTGATGGTACCACCCGTGTTGGTCAAGGGGGCACCACCCGCGAAACCGGCGATGAAACGGCAGACAATAATGGTGCCAATGTTAGGTGCCAGTGCGAGAGGCATCTGGAAGAGGGACATGATGAACCACGAGACGATGTAGACGGGCTGGCGACCAAAGTACTCGGACAGAGGAGCCAGCAAGACAGGTCCAATGGCATATCCCAGCACATACATGGACAGACATAATGTAGTGACTTCAGAAGACACGTGGAAATGTTCCGCGATGCCGGTGGCTCCGGAGGAGAAGGAACCGCAAGACCAAGTGCTGGATTTGGATTAGTAGGGTCGAGACACAGGCGGTTGGCAGTAGACCTACGTGATAACGTTCAAGAAACTGGCAAACAAGGTAATGTACCACTTGCGCCAGTAACCCCAGCAGCGCGGGTTGTCCCGATCTTGCGGGCCAAAGGTAATACGCAAGGGGAGAGCTTCATCAGGCTGGTTCCTGGCGCGAGCCAGAGCTTCCTCCTCGGTGACGACCAACGGAAGAGTCTCACGGTGTACATCCGAGATCTCTTGCTTCTGGTCGGCAGTGGCGAACAGGTCGCCGACGTGGGATTCCTCGGTCATGGTCGCGACGCCAGGTACAGGGAGAGGTTAGGTCAACAGGATACAGAACAAGAAAGTTAGATCAGATCATCAGGGGACGAAAGACTTTTAATACGGAAAAGAAATATCTGCGGCGCGAGGGGCAAAAGGGCATCAGCAGCCCGCCGCGTGACGTTCCCCGATTGCATTCTTGCCATGACCCAACTCCACTGGCCGGTGAGGGTTGCAGATGGTCTACCAATGAGATGGAGGGCACATAAGCTTCGACTCCAGATTTCTCCAGTTGCAGCCGTGTTCTCCATCTCTTCGGGGTATGACCGAGCTGGTTACAGGGTAATCCGGTGTCGGGAGGCAAGCTTTGAGCGTCAGGTTCAAGCCTCGGTCAAGCTTTAGGGCGCCGTGGCATCCGGGCGAGGATTCCAGAAAAGAGGGCCGATAAAGGCGGGATCTTGGCTGCCTTACCCAAAAGGCGCTTAGTCTCGCTGCACTCCAGGGGATCGTCTCCTCCTTATTCCTCCATCCTTTCGTCTCCCCGTGGAGTTGCCCTTGTTTCTCTGACTCACCGAAACCGCACGGTCGTGGGCCGCCCGGCCGATACACATTTCCCCAGGCAGGATTGCCGACCCCCCGCCGGCTGTTCCATTTGCCGTGGATGCTGTCCAGCAAAACTGTTTCTCTGCCCTTGTTGGGCCGAGATGCTTCCGGTGAGCTGATTCTGGTCTAACAACAAACTAGAATCAGCCACACCGCGTTGGATTTTTCCCCCCCTGCTAGCGAGATAGATTAGCTGCTGCCATTGCACCCAATAAATACTCTTCCGTGGTAAGCACCTTATCTTCCTATCGTGTACCACAAGAAAAGAAGGCAGAACTCAGCTGCTTTAGGAAGAACAAGCAACCTTTTTCAGTGTCAGTGTTAATATTAATAATTTGGAACCTTCGTGATTCCCAGCCGTCCTCCACCGGCTTTTAGGCTAAATGCCATCAGCCCCAAACCCCAACCCCAACTTGCGACGCCAGACAGACAAGACACTAAAATCCCCGGGCTGTTTTTCGGAGGCTTATTCCCCACTTGCCATTGGTAAGCACTAGATACGGCTCCTTCGAGTCGGTTTAGATCCCACGGAGAACCAAAAAGCTGAGCTCCCCGGTGAATGAGTCGGTCGGTATGTTGCTCTCATCACGGTCGGCTTGCTTACGGGCGTCGCTCTCATGCCGGTTGTCGGCATCCTTTCCCCGTGAGAACTGCCCCTCACCTAATACTATATCAACCAAGTACGGAGAACGGTGTACACAGTAGACGGTAGGCAATAGACAGTAGACAACACGGGTATAGCTGGGTGTCTGGATACGTGTGGACCTTCTGCCGCACCTGGTTTGGCCTGGCCTCTTCGTGGATAACGTGCTGGTGTGACAACCAATCAGTTGACCTTGTCTGCTTCATCGATCATCCAGCCTCAAAGCTGATTTGTTGTGCGGTCGCTGGCGCTGCTCAGCTCTTCTTTTTCGGTCACAGCTGGTCTGCCCACATTAGCATCCACTTGGCTAGCAGTTGACCAGGCCTCGTCTGTGCCGCTCATCACTCGCACGGAATCAAGTCTCCGCTGTCTACGGAGTACATGCTGGTTTCTGGGCTGCTTAAGCCATCCAGCGCGACAAGAACCTCCTCTCTCCCCGGTCGTTGTGGACGCATGGATCGACTGGCCCATCTTGGCATCTGGTGGTCTCCAGACGCCGACTCAACTGGCTCTGTCCTGGTTGACCCGGACATTGTTGTCTCGCAGAGAAGTCCGAGGTGAGCTTTTCTCGGGTTGCCTCCCTCATGGAGAGGCTGTATTTCGGACGTGAGCCGGCCCAGGGACTCCACCAGGCTAGTTCTCGCACTTTTGGAAATTTACCATGCACAAGGAGTTGGAGACGCCCAGTATCCTTTCCATATATTGCCGTTGCTATTTGCATTCTTCGCGCAAGGTATGGAAGGCCTCACGCCGATGTTGTCTGTCCTATGGTGACATAGGACGTGATGGGCAGTAACTTAATAGGCCAGAGTGAACGCACGGTCTCTGCCAATATGAATGGTAGCCATGCATTGTCTGTGTCGTGTGCTGTCAGTGCTCGTGTGCGGTCCCCGCGCATTAGTGAACCTTGAGCCGTAGCGATCATCGGTCGGAGAAATTCGCCTTTGACGAGAATTCACTGGTTTGTCCCACTAATGTGTATCATAACCTGCCAAAAGCCCGGTTTGGTGTGACACTGGGGAAAGAATCGTGAGTGCTGCCCCAGCCGGGGTGTTGTCTTTCCAAGACAGTGTGTCAACGTTGAACCTACAATCCCCGACCACCAACCTGACGGTTACATTTGTACACTGGAAGACGGGAGTTCATGACAAGATCCTACTGACATCTGCATGGCTCGAAGCTTCATCCGCGATGGTGAAACTGTTGCAACCGGAGGGGCGTCACTCTTTCGATGAGACATAATGCCCGAACAATGGGTTCCATCATGCGACGGAGTTAGTCCACGGATGAAATTAACCCCTGTTATACAGCATCCCTGGCGAAAGTCATACAGAATAGACCGCCTGTTTCCAGGTTGAAGTCTCAACTTCACGGTCAACTTGTATATATATGTAGCGTCAGACCTGCTTGATTTCAGCAATAACAAGGAATACAAGACAGCAGAAAGGACACCGACCACTAAACCAGCTACCAAAATGCGCATCGCACTTACGGGGACCGCCATTCTGGCCTATATCTCGCTTGCCGCCTCGCATGTCATCAAGCGGGACATTTCAATTGTCCTACGTGGTCTGTCCACCTTGAATGCCAACATAGGCACATTCGGTGCATCCGTTTATCGTTACGACGGAACACTTCCCGCTGCGATTGAAATCTTCCACCAGGAGAGTAGCCTGGAGAAGGACCTCGAGGGAGTGGCGGCCGATACCAACAGCACGGCGGAGTGGACCGCCCAGGAGAGCAATAGCGTGACTGAATCCTTGGTGGGATTGGAGCCGATTATGCGAACCTCAATTGCTGCACTTGTGATGAAGGTTGGAAGCTATCCCGAAATCTGTCAATTTTCTGCATGTGTTCTGACGTTTTGATTTCCAGAGAGATCTCTTCATCAGCGCCGGCGTGGGCTCTGCAGTACGGCTTAATTTGGTCAACATGAGGAGCCGGACAGTTGCTCTTTCTGTGGCTCTGCAGAACAAGGCTGTTGGTGCTGATAAGGAGACCATCCGACAAGGGACCGGAGATGTGGACGATGCTTATGACAGTGCCATTGATTCGTATGAGTCCCGGCTGTGAGTATGTCTGTGCCGCCTGTGGCTTGGTCAAACTGTCCTCAAGGCATCGATTAGGCGCCGGGAATTTTGTTCATGATTAGCTATTCTCAATGCAGAAGCTTGACATATGGTCGGTATCTTTTTTCGAGCACCGCGTAGTGGTCGGGAGTTCACATCCAGTATGTCTTGCCTTATGAGGGTCCCGGATGTGACCTATCTGTTCCACGCATTCGAGTTTGGCCTGGTCACTACAAAGTCCCAGCAGTTGATTTACAAAGGATCCCGGGCCGGCGCTTAGTTAACAGCTAGTTAGCTAACTAGCTAGTTAGTATATCGATGAGCACGGATGTCTCGGCTCCCCCGCGGCCAATGAGGAGCTCAATATGGGTCTACAACACCTACTTAATGCATACCAATGCGATAGCTACAGCTAGGTCACCAATAATCGATAGAATTGATATTGAGCGCTCTATTGTTTCCATCCTCGGCGATGTAGGGCGAGAGGGGAATGTGCCGAGCCGAGGTGCTTCTCCCCGACGCGAGCGGGGTTGGAACATGGTACAAAGTCGCGCAGCAGAAGAAGCAATTCCCATCCCTCGATTCACCGCACGTCACTTCCCCTGAACTACTACTACTACCACTCAATCTCATCATGCCCTCCAACTACGCTCACCATGTGGGAAACCATGATTATACTCGCGCTACTGTCGTGATTATCGGGGCTGGCGTATCAGGTACGAGATGAGCCCCTTGCCTTGTTTGTGACCAGGGTAATGATAAACTCTGCCACTAACAATCTCCCAGGTATATGCATGGCTATTGACCTCCTCCGTCGAACCCCCGTCCGGAAGTTCGTCATACTCGAGCAGGGAAGCGCTGTAGGAGGAACCTGGGCCAACAATCTCTACCCAGGCTGTGCCTGCGACGGTCAGAAGCGACCGGCCCAACATGGTCGCGCGTATAGATAGCTAACAGCCGTGTAGTCTGGAGCGCCCTGTACAGCTATTCATTTGAGCAGCGTCCCGACTGGACGGCAGAGTATCCGGCGCAGGAAGAGTTTCTGGTAATCCTGTCTTGCTTGCAACGCATATCAGTTGCTGACGCACCTGTAGGAATACCTCACGGATATTGCTCAGAAACATGGCCTCTACCAATACATTCGCTTCAACTCGACCGTACAGGAAGCCCGCTGGGACGACCAGCAACGGCAATGGAAGGTCCAGGTTGCCCTGAATGGCGCCAAGGCTAGCGAATTTCATGAGGAATATGAGCTTACCACAGACTTCCTGGTTTCCGCCGTCGGACAACTCAATGTGCCCAGCTATCCCTCAATCCCGGGTCTGGATGATTTTACCGGCAAGTTGATTCACTCAGCCAGATGGGACTGGACCTACGACTTCTCCGGCAAGCGGATCGCAGTGATCGGAAATGGTATTTACTCCATTACCATTAGAACACTCGGGATCATATACTGACAGCCGTGACAGGCGCCTCGGCAATCCAAATTGTCCCTGAAATAGCCAAAACAGCCTCTCATATAACCATCTACCAACGCAGTCCGAAATGGGTCGTTCCACGCTTCAACAAGCCGGTCGGCGCTTTCCAGCAGTTCCTATTGTCATATGTACCTCCCGTGCGCTGGTGCAAGCGAGCTCTGCAGATGCGCTTTCGAGAATGGTCATACAATGTTCTCGTCACCCCGGGCACAGTCCCGGCCCGCGAAGCTGAGGAAGATGCAAAGAAATGGATGAAAACCCAATTGCCCGACAAGCCCGAATTGTGGGACACTCTGACCCCCAACTATGCCATAGGATGCAAGCGCATCCTCATTTCCGACGACTTCTATTCAGCGTTGAATTCGAGTCACGTTGACCTCAATCCCAAGCCAATCCAGCGTATTACAGCCACGGGTGTCCAAACGGAGGGTGACGAGCAGGAGTATGATCTCATCGTGTTGGCCACTGGATTCCGTGCTTCGGAATTCCTGCACCCGATTCGGGTGTATGGCGCTGGGGGCCGGTCGCTGGAAGATATCTGGAAGGGCGGACCAAAAGCTTACTACGGTATGACTGTTGAGGATGTGCCGAACTTCGGCATGCTCTACGGACCAAACACAAACTTGGGTATGTCCATCATTCTATCAAGTCCTTTAGGAGGACATACACTGATAAGATAGGCCACAACTCCATCATCCTCATGATCGAAGCCCAATCACGATACATAACCACCCTGATCCGAGCCGTAGCCGATGCGAAGAAAAAGGACCAAACGCTGGTTATTCAACCCCGCCCAGACGTGCTACGCGAATATAACGACCGGGTCCAGAAACAGCTTGCAGAAACCAGTTTCGCCGACCCTAACTGCCAAAGCTGGTACAAGACTGATAAGGGCCTGATCACGAACAACTGGCCACTCAAGGTGGTGGAGTACCAGAAGGAGGTGTCCCAGGTGCGATGGACGGACTTCCTTATCAAGGGCGATGGGGCTGCGACAGTGGAGAAGAAAAAGGCGACGTACGTTGGTCGGGTTAGGGAGGAGGTGCTGATCAGTAATGTTACGTTGTTTTTGGGGGTGGCTTTGGCGGCTGGAGGAGTTTACTGGCGTGCTACGAGGGGATGGAAGTGGTAGGCTTTAGGCTGCTGCTTTGTGATACGGATCTATTGTAATTTCTTCAATCGAGACGGTGAATTAGCATGCTTGTTTTTGTAGTAGAGTGATGCCTCTTGTAGAAAGTATGTGTCGATGGGTCTAAACTTCTGCCCATGGTTTCTTTATTATCCTATCACGCTACTAAAATTAACCCGGATCATTGAATTTCACTATGCTACTAATATATAGTCACCTATCCAAACATGATCTTAAACCCCTCAAACCACCTCCCAGAGCGTCTAGAAGCTGGAACCTCCGCAGCAACAATTTCAGCTATCCCAGTCACCAGATCCACCTCCTCACACGGAATCAACCAAGGTCCCCCCCACCCAGTATACAATCTATGCCCTAAATAAAAGATCACGAATATCAGAATCCCCACATACGAAGTAACAAACGTCGAGGTATCCCACTGCTCCGGAAAAAACACCGCAAACCCATTCAACCACAATAACAAGAAGATCACACAGCCAGCAAAATACGCAGCATATGGTTGAAACATCGATCGATACGGCAATTCCACAACATCAAGTTCCTGCGCTGCTGTGGCCTTTCGAAAGCGAATGTATATAACGCAGACACACACCCAACTTACATACGCGCCGCTATTCACGAGGTTGACGAACCAGTTGAATACTGTTGCAGCGGAGGAACTGACGTTCATGTATGCGAGAAGGGAGAATAACGAGGTAAATCCCAGAGACATGTACGGGACACCTGATCCTGTACAGCGCTTGAATATCTTAGGCGCGGTGCCGAGAGTTGCCATGGAATATAGTGTGCGAGTGGCGAGATATAGCCACGAATTTCCTGCGGACCAGGCTGATAGCAGAATCACGACGTTGATGACCGAGTCGAGACCCTTTATACCTGCGTCTTTGGCCGCAATCGCCCAGGGAGAGGCGCTGGCGTCACTGCTGCCGCCGAGTAGCTGGTTGTGGTTGCTCGGGCAGATTAGACCTATGAGGAAGGCACCGAGGATGTAGAAGATAACTAGTCGGATGAAGAACCGTCGTCCGGCTGTTGGAAGGTTCTGGCGGGGGTTTTGCATCTCTCCTGCCGTGATGACTAGGAGCTCTGGTGTGAAGGCAAAAATGTAGACGGAGAAGCGTAGGGTCGCAATGAATGCGACTAGTCGCCCCGAGGCTCCACTGACAATGTATTCATTCGTAGCTCCGGGGCTATGCCAGTAGGCGAACCCTATTGCTTTGTAATTCGGACCACCGCCGCAGGTGATTACCAGGGCCATGATGAAGAGGCCGATGATACCAATTACTTTGATCGAGGCAAACCAGAATTCGGTCTCTCCGTATACTTTGACCGGGAAGCAATTCAATCCCACAATGACCACCAGCATGATTGTGATCCATACAGCGATATTCACAGGACTAGGCCAGTAACCAATAACGAGCGCTGCGGCAGTAATCTCCGAAGGGACCGTGATGGCGAAGACGTAGTAGTACATCCAGCCTAAGGCAAACCCCATACTACTCGACACGTATCTATGGCCGAAGTAGGCAACTGATGAGCCACGGACTGGAAGGAAGGAGCTGAACTCAGTTGTCGAAGTCACTATGCAGAACACCAGTAGTGTTAGGAAAGAGTAGCCCAGCAAAAGGAACAGCGGGCCCCCGATGCTCAGAGATTCACCACTGCCGATGAACAGTCCGGTGCCGATGGCGCCGCCAATAGCTATCATTTGGGTGTGGCGCGGTTTGAGTCCTCTGACGGTCTCGACATGGATGATGTTTTCCACTTGGCCTTCTTTCTGTGATGGCATCTGGTATAGTCCATTCTCCAGATCTGTTGAGGGGTCTGCTTTAGTCACGTCTGCTGTCTGGATCGGGGCATTGTGGGTGGAGATTGGGTTTGAATCTGACATTGTGTGCTCGTGCGATGATTTTCCCTGGATAAAGATACTCTAGTTATGTTATGTGATTGACTTCCAAAGATTCAAGTCAAAGCTCATAGCGGTTTTAGTGATATAAGTATCTAGTGATCCTATATCTGGCTATCAGCATAATCTGCATTTCGGAAAGCATTGTGTACAGCATCATGCATAAAGTGACTCGGCCCATTTCAGCCAGAGGCCACGCGTGATATGCTGTCAGCATTTACCGAAACGATCCAATGATATTCAAGCTTTCTACAATATCAATGCCAAGGTGATAAGTACAAAAGAGATAAGAGCAAGGGAATTGCAAGCCCTTCTCGGAAGTCAATATCTTGAGTTCAGCCGTTGCGGGGAAAGGTGCCAGATATGACTCGGCTCCCGGGCTCTTGTTAATCCATCGTGGTAAATATTTCCTGCTTGTGTTCAGACTTGCGTTTTAGAGTCGTGGACGCAATAGTGGATTTATTGTTTTTTCTTGTCGGCTTGTTAATTCTTATGCCTTGTATAGCGGCCGAGCGGTTTGATTTAGACAGTATTAAAAGTTCAATATTTGGATTATCGAGTGTATTATTATCTAATTAAATTCTGATATAATTGCGAGAATATTCCGCATATATTGCTTTCCTTCCTTATCATCCTCCTTTATTATACATCTTCTTATGATTGTGTCCATTCAGTAGAGGGTACAGAAGTGAGACAGACTGAGAATCCCACCTATTGTTGACGCCGACGAGCAATGTAGCAGACTTAGACCAACCTCCGTTGCCTGAGATATTCGTAATCGGGCATTGCCTCATGAACCCTCTCGAGAATAAAATTAGCCATCTTGTCGCCAAATTCGTGCTTCCACCTTTCCGCCTCCGAAGCAATATCAACAACCTCCGGCGCCTTCTCTTTTAACACCCCGGAGGATCCCATCAGAGTTGTTCTCATGGAAGTTTCAGCTTTCTGAAGTATGGAGTCTTGCTCGGAAGCTCCATCTCCGGACGAGGATTTATCCTCAGGACCGACACTCTCCCACTCAAACTTTAAAACTGTGGGGTCGAGTCCCGTTTGCTCGCAGGATTTTACCATAGAGCTCTTATTATGGATAAGGTCAGAGGCATCCAGAATGATTGGATGCGCCAGTCCCTTCCGGCGAACACACCAATCGTAGAGCATCCGTGTCCAGTGTAGAGTTAGAGTAACTTTTAAATAGCTATCCGACAACAGACCCTCGAAGGGATTATCACCCGAAGGATAAAGGTCCTTCAGAGCCCGATCAGCCCGGTACATCGATGGGAAAACTAAGGCAGGATGTCGGATGAGAAATGCCAGTTGCCAGGTAGCCAGGTACCCGTCTGGGAGGACAGTTTCATTCAATGGAGGAAGCCCTTTCGACCGGCCATACTTGCTATCCACACGAACCTGGAAGAATGAGTGGTAATCGGGCGCCATTAAGGCGGCCAAGGCATCTCCATTGGTGGTGTCGGCATCATGCAGCGTCCTAGAAATGGCGGCCGGGTTCATCAGCCAAGATATATGCTCTTTGACGAAGAAAATTTTCCCTTCATCACGGGCCAAGGCGGAGGATCCTTCCAGGGTCTCCAAACACTGTTGGAGGACCCCTTGAACCTCGAGTGCTTGTTTCAGTGTCCATTGTGCGATGGGCTTGCTGAGGAGGTCATCTTTGATCAATGTAAGATATGTTGGTGTGAAACAATATCCGCCTTCATCGTTGGTGATGGCACCTGGCTGATCGCTAATAGAGAGTATCTTCAATAATAGATTGGACGCGGTCCGAGGCATGCTTAACAGCAGCACGCGGCGAGGAGGGCTCTGGGTACTATCCATGCTGGGGGTTTAAATCCATGAAGACTGCGTGGTAGGTAGGGGGATCAGAAAGCAATCGATGGAAACCTTCGAGAAGGTGGAGGATAAAACGGAAGTGAAATCAAATTCGAAGTACCCTTGATGTCTCTGTGGAATAGGCAGAATAGATTGTGAGACAAAGAATGTAGGGGTCGTGAAAGCGGATTTCTCGCCGCAGAGCCTACTGGCTGGTGACCATCAAGCTGGTAAGGTATTCCTATATTTAAGGGCCCTCTCCGCGGACTGAACTAGACTGATCATTCCTCGCACTCCCGAGGACAGTGAAGACAGTGTCGGCGCACTAAGCACTAGACCAAAAGCAATATACCGCTTTTGGTTAGCTAGGCGATAGAGAGATACATGTTCCAACAGTTAATCAACTTGCGAGACCAGAGATAAGTGGGGCGGAGTCAGCGCACATCAGGAACTATACAGTTGAAATGCATAAAGGTTGGCCATAGCGTGAGAGCTTTGCATTGTTCGGGTGATGTTAGAGATAGGGTTGACTACATGTGAGGAGCGAGTTTTGAGAGTTGAGAGAGGAACAAACAGAAATGGAATGCGGAAATCCTTCTAAAGTGGGTCACACCATCGAAGAATGTCTAAAAATAGCCATTATGTGATGACACTTCCGGCACTTATCGTTTGTTGGTCAGATTGATTGACTGATATATCGAAACCTACGCAAATAACAATGCACCAGCATACAGCCAGCTGCAATACTCCGATGTCTAATAGCCAAGTTGACATATGGGTTGGAGTGCACTGATATCCCTATCTTGGCGGTGCGGCTGCCATAAGAATGTGAAGCAAGGGAACATGAGACTATCTACATATATGGTATCATGATTATAACATACGCTAATCTGAGATTTTGCTCACATTTCCTTTTAGGGGCGCATACCTAAGCCGCGATATGTCTACTCCAGCCGGGATAACCTGCAAAGACCACGCACACATAAAGTAATCATGGAGTACTTCATAATATTCAAGTATATGATTCTAGTATGGTACAGCGGAGACGGACTGATTTAGGCTGGCCACACTCCAGGATTACCCCTTCTGCCGTTCCATGTCAGTTCCCAACTATTTTCTTTCCATGCAAAGTGACAGAACCCCTTAAGGATCCTCGATTCCCGTTATTGCAGACTAACTATGCAGCAAAGCAGCATTAGGTATCCTCATACTTGCCACAGCATTCTCTTTCCATCAGCATCAAAGCTTCGGAGACGTCACAGGTGGCTCTTAGGCTGGGAGCAGCATCCGGAAGAACTCTGGCTGGCGGGCTTCTCTGTAAGCTCCACACTCTTGTTGAATGCCTGTGTGGACGGAGGGACATCGTTCGCTGGGTTGAAAAGGCAGAAATTATAAGGGCTCAGCCGAACCTGTGCCATTTCGGCCGGCATAACTGGGAAGTCCTCTACACGTGGGTTATGAGTGAAGCCGTAAGTATGCCAGATGACAATATCATCGTTTCGGACCGAGTCTCGAGCTTCGCTAATCCATGATTTGATACCAGTACCGCCAAGGGATTGGTTCGTGTAGTCACCCGCTGGGAACAGCTGACGGTCCTTGTACTTCGTGACCCAGATCGGGCTCTCACAGAATTCCGACCGGCGCGAATGCCAGGAGCCAGGGCGAGCAAGCAGCATCTATAAGCGTTAGTGTGGTCCAAAATTGACAAGTCTGATCGACTTACTTGAGAGCGATGAGGCACGAGTTTGTACCCAATTGGAGTCAACGACACGGGGTTTTGGACATTCTCGTTCAAAATTTTGAAGACTCTTCCCTTCGAGATGTCGTCCTCCACAGTTCCTGCCCGATCAAGTATCTGCTGTTGGGTTATGAATCCGGTACCAAGGGGGTTCAGATCCTCGTCCCAGGGAAGGGGAACAGTGTCGGTAGACGCAAAACTATTCTTGAGACCGCCCACGGCTGGATCGATACGCAGATTGAAGAGATGCTGATGATACGGGGCCATCACTCCATCCGCAACACGGGTGCCCCAGGCTACCTTGGCATCTTTGTCGATTGGCTGGGTAGAGAGAATACCCGTAGCACGGGTTTCGAAGGTGAGTTCTCCCGACTGATCGAAGTACCACATGAAAATATATTCATAGTTGGCCACGGTGATGATCGTTTGCAAGACAAGCTGCCGTTTTCTCACTACCGTTGCCTTTCCAGTTCGGTGGTTGGTATGCTTCCACTGGATTCCGTTATCAATCTCATGGATGCAAATAGCATTCGGCCTAGGCGCAGGGCTTCCATCTTTGGCGACAACACATCCGTCAAGGTATTTGATGAGGCCGAGGCAGTCACAGCCCACTGTTATGAGTAATATAGTCAGACATATATTGCAAGCCTGGACAAAGGGGAAAGAGCGTACATTGAAGGTTGTTTGCAGTCACACCTGCACCGACGTTTCCCAGGTCAAATGCACCCTTTCGATAAATCGGGTTACGGGGATCGCCGTATGGCACAAACATTTCCGAAAGTGAGAGGCGATAGAAGGCGCTCTTTCCATCGAAAGACACATCATGAAGGGTCATTCCTGATCAGTATTAGTATCTTGGTTATTCCTCCAAAGTTTGGGGTACAGCTCACCTTCACGCCAATTGAACCCAACGCGGAAGCGCCATTTCTCCCATTCGATCAAGTACCCATTGACTGTAAAGGACGCCCCTTCTGGCTGAATTACTTGGTAGGGCTTTAGGGTAGTCCGAGGAGGGTTTTTCTGCAAGCGATGATCATATTCTGGCTCGACGGGGTTGGTCCGACGATGAGGCACAGCCGAACCAATAGCAGTGGCGGTTTGGTCCGATCCCAAAGGCAGACGAATAATTTTTATCACTTCCATCTTGCAGAGATCTACAATGACCATGAAATCCAGAGGGAAGCTATAATGACTGGAATCGGGGTCATTATTCTTGGGATTTCGCATGTACATGAAGACCTGAGAATGAACCTGTCAGCTAATTGTGCACGAGGCGGCGGTTCAGCAACGCAGTACCTGGGTGCGACGAGTCTGTGTATCTTCACCATCTACGCCGTAATCCCAAGGATCGAGGACGACGGTGGTGTCATCAATTTGGAGTCTCTTAATCTCCGTCTGGACACAAGGATCCTTCATGACAACCTGCGCCGCTTCGTTCATCTCCGCCCGGTCGACCGGTCCATGAAAGTCGCGTGGAAGCTCTTTATGATGGACAAGACTCTGTCTGGAGAGGTCCACGATGCCTTCGAACAGACGAGGGGTGTACTCAATGTACCAAATGAGGAAGATCTGACGGGGGATGAAGGGAAGGGGCCGACCATGGTGCTCTGCGTCCAGGAAGTCAACAAGTGCAGCTTTAGGTGGCTCTTCCAGTCCAGCTGCTTTGAAGTGGAGTGAGATCCCATTGTATTTGGCTTTCACTAAATCAGTCGCCTGCCGGATTTCGTCCGGGCTGGCTGGATCCAAAGGGTGGCACGACATCGTGAAGAGAGGTGATTAGGTGACAACTTGATAGGTGAGAAGATGAAAGATGCAAAGATGAAGTTAGTCAGTGTTAACGCCTCCAGCGAAAAATATATATCGCATCGTGGGGCCGAGTCAGCGAGCAGAACAGAGTCACTGAACACCGGCCGAGTTGAACGTCGAGTATGCATGTCTCCACACGGTGGGCTGGGCTGAGTGCAGATGTCCGGACCTTAAGGCAGTGACAGACTGTCATTAACTCTCCCATGCCCCCAATCTTCCACGATCACCGCACATGATAGAGCGTGATGTGCAGTATGCTCTACATAACTCCGCGACAAAGCGGAGTCGGAATGTCCGATTGCGATCGTGTTCGCCAGCTGCTGCCAGCATGCGCATCCGCGGGAATTCCTTCTCCTTAAGGTACGAAGCCCCTGCAAGTGTATCTCACCGGGTATTTAATTGGTGTATCGACCAGTCTCATCCAATTACCCACGCTATGCGACGATAGAGGCAAGGTGGCAACCGCATCAGATAAGAGAACATTGGCAACAGCGGAAGGAGGAGGATGCGGGGAAAAGTTTGGGGCCGAGTCACCACTTATCCGCATCTTCATCCCGTATCCCAGCGTTTCTAGACGCCGTTCCTACCATCACCATGCCACGTCGCGTATGGTCAACCGAAGAAGACGAAAAGCTCATAGCCCTTGTTGAGCAGTTGGGAGATAAGCGTGGCAGAGACAGTAAATGGACTGAGATCTCCAAGAACCTCCCAGGGCGGACAAACAAGGTCCATCCTTCCGGAGACAGTTTGCGGGTTGAATACTGACGACAACACCAGGATTGTCGAAAGCGTTGGTTCCATTCCCTAGACCCAAAACTGCGCAAAGGTCGCTGGACCAAAGAGGAAGACGAGATTCTCCTCGCCGCTCATCGGCGACTGGGACCTGCTTGGAAGGAAATCGGTACGCTGTTGCATTGATTCGTCTTCTTTTGAATGCAATTTGCTGAGTAATATCTGAGCAGCACTTCTCATCAAGGGCCGAAAGGATGATCAATGTGCGAAGCGATATACCGATATTCTAGACCCCTCTGTGAAAAACCGCCTCAGAAGTTGGTCGCCAGAGGAAGACCACTATTTGACGACAAAGGTAAAGGAACTGGGGCATAGATGGGCTACGATATCATCGGGACTACCGGGTCGTCCTCCTTTGACTTGTCGAAATCGGTGGAGAAGACTATGCAAAGAAATCACAACCATGCCAACTCAACCCAGCCAAGGCCAGGACGATTCCACGGAATTATCACCATCCTCCGGCTCTGGCTCATTTTATCCAGGCTCTAGCAGTGGAAACGCTAGTTCCATGGACAACGGCTCGCAGGAAGATGGCGAAAGCCCCGATGTTCATCTGGATGCGATGGATATGGCCACCGGATTGTCGGAAAACATATTATTATCCTCACCATTCGACCTGAACGATGCAGCTATTCTTTCCATGCGTTACCCAGATGAAGGCTATATGTCACTTCAATATGACTCGGAAATGTTCTCGTATCCTCTCGTGCAGAACCAAACCCCTGAGAGCAACCACACAAGAACACACACCGGGCATCTATCATCGAACGAGAACGCCGAGATGAATACAATACCAAGAGATTCCCCCTCGATCTTGAGCCCTGAGGGTCGGGCTGGAGACCGCGACCGGCTTATGTCAAACAACTCCGATATCAGGGGTCAAGAAACATCGCCTACCAATGGCCTTCACACCTTCAATGCGGACAATATTCGGCTCGCCTTAGACTCATTTACACAAAGCGCGGAGCCCGATCAGAATGCCATAGAGGAAGCAGCCGTTCAACAAGTGCTCACGTCTGCTCAGTGGACCTCTTCAAACTCAAGGGATGCCTTATCACGGTCATATCCTACCCAAGCGCAAGAGGTTCATCACCACCACCATTTCCATCATCATTTCCATCATCACCATTACCACCACCAAACTCATGGAACATAGTAGCTACCATCATAATATAATGCATAAACATAACATAAAATACTTTTTCGACTACAAAGCTCCCTGGCATGTGTGTATCTGCCCTAAAAAAAAAAAAAAAAAAAAAACAATGGAAAACTGCTCAGCATATCAATTAGCCATAACATACAACAGATGATCCTTTAATGCGATATGACATTTCGATAAATCATATACCCGTTATTTCTGCGAGCTCTCTGGAACATAATCTGCCGCCCACGTACTGTCGGCCTCGTTAGTTGTTGCTCGGAACTGCGATAAGCGGTATTCCTTTGCCGACTGGGCCGAGTCAACAACATCCCCACTTCAAACTGATATGACTCGGCCCAGCCTTGATTGGTCGCACCCCTCTTTTACAGCTGTTGATGCATTGTATGTCCTCAGTCGTCGTGGATACGGAACTCAGCATCGTACTATGTAGAACGTCTCTATTTTACACTCACACTACCTTCACACCAGAATGAATGACCAAAATTCCCTCCGACTCCCACCTACTCCTATTAACCCGGATCTCTCGTCAGGGCAAAACGCATGATGTATAGTCCCCTTGGACTTGCTCAAGCGAGTACAAGAAATAAAAGAACACGGACTTAAGCATGGACACGAATCATTTCTCATATTTGCAGAGCGCCTATTACGCTCTAATACCCCAATGCCCTATTGACATGATTAACTAATGGCTTGCCCTGTGCCCGTCTCTCCAAATTATACGCAAAAATCTTCAACACGCGCTCATAATAATGATTCGAGTTGCCACTACAATGAGGCGTGATAATGACGTTCTTATACCCCCAGAGCTTATGATCAGCGGGTAACGGCTCTGGATCCGTCACATCCAACGCAGCACCCCTGATTTTGCCTTCATCCAGTGCAACCATCAAGTCCTCCGTATTGACACAGGGTCCCCGTCCAACATTACTAACATAGGCCTTCTTCTTGCTAAGGATGTCAAACTGCTCACGCGAAATCATTCCCCGGGTTTGATTTGTGAGCGGCAGTGTGATGACCAGTAGATCGAGATCCGACGCAAGAAATTCATTCAGTTGCTCTTTTCCTGCAAACCATGCGGATGGAAATTCGCCTTCGGGGTCGCCCAGTCCTGGTTCAGTATAGTCTTCGGATCTGCGAGACTCAGGGGTATCCCGGCTGTGCAAGGTATACGCGTAGACATCCATGCCGAATGCTTTGGCAACTCGGGCACATTGTCGGCCAATGCAGCCGTATCCTAGAATTCCACTTCAGGGTTTTCTCAGCACTGGTATGAAGCAGAAGGGCAAAGGATAGTGTTACACTCACATTCTGAGTCCGACCGCATCTTCTGTATCCTCATCAGTAGGTGGATCTACCCACTTGCAGGCCCTTTGGTTCTCGAGATATTCCGGAACTTTCAACAGTTAGTGTCAGCCATCATTGTAATGATGCTCTTTCCATGCTTACTATGATGCTGAAAGGCTAAAAATGTCGAGAAAACCCACTCCGCGATTTGGGGCCTTAAAGACTGATCAGTTGTCGTGACTCCTTACAGCTACTAGGTTTAGTACTCACGGATGATTGCCATTAGACGTGCAGAATGGAATATCTGTGTCTTCAAAAAGTGGCATGCCCAGTAACTGATTGCATCCGGCACTCAACAGCTGAACATACTGAAGCTTCGGCAGCCATTCCTTCGGAGGAAATACTTGCCAGGTGAAGAGTATGGTAGCCTCTGCCCATGTTTCCTTGGGGATGGGTGGTAGTTCTTTCGCGTACATCTCCACATGATGATGCTCCACTCGCATTCCCGGATTAGCCTGTCGCACTCTCTGGAGCCATTGGTCCGGAGGCGCAAAGGGCTGGATGAAGAGTAGAAGGTCTGAATATGTCATTGTTTGAAGGGACCGATGTGGGTACCAAATTCTATGAGCGCAGCATCCGTTATTTGAAAATCCGGTAATGACTCGGCTCTGTAGAGACCGAGTCAAGGGCCCGAAGCCGTGTCAAGATGCCATCAGGACCGAGTCAAGAGATTTATCGGTTGCGATGGCGAACGAATCACTATAAATTAGAGAATTCGGTGCATATAAACACGGTTCGATGGACCACTGTAGCTGTTCAACATCATACCATTAATTCACGCGCACGGAAATATGGCAAATCGAGGGAAAAGCCTAGACTCGGAGATCTTCTCCATTGCCGACTTGCAGGCCAAGGCATCGGAGAAACTTCCAAGAGTATTCAAGGGTAGCTAGCTCTACTAGATCTGTGTATTGCGGCATCCGCTGACCACTTAGCAGAATTCTTCAATGAAGGCGCAATGGATCTCATCACGTACGTGGGATAATATTAATGTCATATCATATCTTGATAACACAATCATAGCGTGAAAGACAACGAAGATGCCTTCAATCGGTATAAGATCCGCCCACGCGTTCTTCGCGATGTCTCTAACCTGGACACCTCGACAACGATCTGCAATACCAAAGTTTCTTTCCCATTTGGATTTGCTCCCGCTGCCACCCACAAGATCGCCCATCCGGACGGCGAGATCGGAACTTCCAAGGTTGCTGCTGAGGCGAATATATGTATGGCGTTGTCTTCACATGCAACCTGCTCGTTAGAGGACGTCATAGCAGAGGGGTCGGGAAACCCATACATGATACAATTCATCATATTGAAAGATCGGAATATTACGAGGCAGCTACTTGAGCGCGCAGAGAGTGAGACCCATCGCTTTGTCTCCTTGATCATTGCGGGTGCTAAATCTTCTTATGTCACAGGATCTGGGTATAAGGCAGTCATGCTAACAGTGGATGCGCCAATGCTCGGAAGGCGTCTGAACGAGTACAGAAACTCTTTCGGAATTCCAAAAGGCATGGGATATCCCAATCTTGCCCCTGGCTCTGATATGAGTAATTTGACCGAGACGGGCGAGGGGCTAGCATATGGTGAGTTACGGATGTTCGAAATCTTCCTTCAAACCCCTAATGATATATTCTTAGAGGACGGTATTGAGTGGGCCGAGGCAATTGCGTGGATTAGAAGTGTAACTAAGCTCGAGATTTGGGTGAAAGGAAGTGAGTTTCTGATTTTGCCTCGTACTCTATGGAGAGGCTTACATTATATATTAGTCTATACTGCTGAAGATGTCGCACTGGCTATCCAGCATGGAGTCAACGGTGTTTTGATTTCCAACCACGGCGGTAGACAATTGGACGGCGTACCAGCCACTCTTGATGCACTACGCGAATGTGCATCTGTCGCAAAGGGCAAAATAGCTATCGCCATTGATGGCGGTATCCGCCGCGGAACAGATATTTTCAAGGCTTTGGCCCTAGGAGCGGACTATTGCTTTGCAGGGAGGATCCCTATCTGGGGATTAGCGGTTAGTTCAATATCGTCCTTCCATGGACCTTTCCTGACTTTGAACCTTTTAGTACAGGGGGACAAAAGGCGTGGAACTTGCTGTCAAGCTATTGCAAGAAGAATTCAAATTGGCCATGTGCCTTGCTGGGTAAGAGACTTGAATCGCCTTTTTCGTTGAATTTCAACACGCGAGGGAATAGTTCTAACTAGAATCTAGATGCAAAACCATCAAAGATATCAATAAGAGTCATCTGTCTATCCTCGAGACGAACGGTGTGCTTTCGAAGCTCTAAGATTTATGGCTTACTATCATGATGCCCATAGTCAGTATTCGATTGATATATGCGGTGTGAAACATGTACATTTGCGTAGCGATCCACATGACATCTGAGATTATTAGGATCCGAAGGGTGTGAACCCTTGATGCTGTTTCAATTTCCTTTAAATTTTGCATTAAGCTGGTTTTCCTTGGAGCAACTTGATACCTATGTGTATTTGCAGTTGAACGTAAAATAGTACGCAAACTCAGTATCCTATATCTCTATAGAAAAAGTAGCTTCCGGCTAGGATAGAGAAGAGCCAAGGCAAATGGACCCATTACATGCACACTTACCTTTGACACAAAATATCTCATATCATATGTAAATATTCACACCTGGGTTGACCCGAATGCTTTCTGCGAGTCAATATGCAATTTCTCTCACTGTAGTTAGTGAGATTTTAGGGCCTCAGATAGCTACATTGGGTGCACTGATTGTCAGCATGTGACATTCATATTCTGAGTGATGTCATGATCGACGAGATTTGGAAGGTCTCCCCGCGATGATTGAATTGGCAAATCCCTCGGGGCACAAGGATCTTCGCTGGGCTGGATTGCGATCCCCGGCTGACAGAATCATATTACTAAGGGTGAGTGTATTTCGTTATACTTTGAACGAGGGATTTACTAGTTTACAATCCGAAGAAACTACTGTTTGCTTAGTAGTAGCTGTAGCGAAGTTACAAGTCTTTGTCATGTGCCGAACAGATGAAGTGGTGGGATGGTGGGTGGGATATATATTTGGATGACTGAGGGCAACACTGCCACATCCTTTCAGTCATCCCTCATCCTTCTTGATCAAACCCGAGCTGGTAGGTCAATAATAAGGAAAAAAGCACGATGGAGGATGGGACTAAGCTCGCAGCGCCTGTTAGGTACAACAATGTGCTCACTACTCTTGGCAATGCAGGGTCTACAAGGCAAGGCTGAGTGCCGCGGGGAACGAGGTCAACGTGAAAGGCCCCTGGAAGTACCTCTACGACATATGCTAGCAGCGTAGCATGTCATATAATAAAGTTGAATTTTTGAAGGAGCATTAGGTAACACCCAGGCAATGAGAAACGCCAACAAAAGCGTTAGGCAACACAAACGGTGACACGTTCTCTGCCTGCGATACAAAATGAAACCAACATGACTAATTCTGTCAACGGCGCTTTGACGCATCCAAGCCAAGACCATGCAGGGCTTTGAGGGGTCAATGATCATCTTACTCAGGGTGTTTGTTGGTAGTGAGCTGCACACTCATTTTCGGGTTTTAAGAGTTGATGGCGGTGATGTCCGGATCCATGCCATGTATCCGCCGTGATCCACCACGTCTATTAATAATGACAGAGAGAGACAACAAGAGAGACAAAGAGTCGGGAATAAGAGAGGAATCCGGTGGGACTGCCGTGTGCCAAGGACATTGTTCCTCTTTTTTCCTCCCCGATAGGTTTGACAACCCGGAGGTGCTTCCCACATCAGCATCAGGTCTCGTGCAGGTGAGTTGCTTGAGGAGAAGAATCCCGATGGATGAGCGGGGAAGCGAGGCTGCAGCTGGTCCCATGTATCCATGCAAATGAGCGGATTCTAACATCATATGAAGGAATCCACACGTGCTACATGCTGCTTGCTGCTTGCTGCAGTTTTAGAATTGAACCTAACAGTTACACACAAACCATAACGGCACGTCAATGCATGATGTAACGTGGGAGACTGTTCACTGGCCAAAAGAGGAGAGAGGAAATGGTAATTGGGCAGAAGGGGGCTATGTAAGACAGGTTGAAGTGAGACAACGGGAAGAGGCAGAGGGAAATTTTGTGAATAACAACAATCAAAAGGGAATAAATGAACGGACAAGAGATTTCTCTGGAAGCCTTGGCAGTGGAGCATACACGGGCGGTCTGTTTACTGATTGGTGAGAGCGGATGTAACCCCCCGCTCGGGGGCCCCAAAAAGGAATGTGGTCACGCCCGGAGGGACCAAACTAAACTCCTCTGGGGCATCAGGCCTCCCGTTTGGGATGAAATTAAAAGATGCATCTTTTGATTCCAACTGAAAGGGAAGGTCCTCACCACGTGTTCTTGGGGGCGGAAGACAAGCCTGCGGATCGTTGGTGATAGTGGCAACTAGACTGAGAGAGCTGTTTGCTTGTATCTATCGATCGGTGGGGGACAAAAATTATTCTCAAACATAAAATCAATCTAGTGGTACCCCTATTGCAATTAATGGAACACGATGTTTGGGATGGATGGATTTGCCCCGGAACACTCGACCGATGATAATTGCAGTTAAGATTTCCCCTGTCTCAGACTGACTTCCCAGGGTCTGCGGGTCTTGGCCCGGAGGCTGATTGGTTTTCGGGGCACGTCTGGCAACGCCGCTGCTTCTAAATTTACCGGCTCTCGCCTGCACAGCCAATGGTTTCCCATGGTGCTGGTGGACCATCAGGGTCCAGGGCCCTCAGGGTCCAACTTTCTCTGCGCCAGGCATCCATCGCAATTCATCCTCGGTCATTAGTCCTGTGTAGTGCTGGGTAGTGCTGGGTAGTACTGTGTAGTAGAGATCACTAGTCTCGGAGCACTACTGGTAGTCCACGAGTCACTAGACTGCTTGGAGGTTGGCACACCGTGAACCACCCAGCTTTAGAGTTCGCAGGTTCGTTGGACTGGCCAGCGTGCTATATTTCCCGTTTGGATGCAGGGCTGTGAATTCAAACTGCGGCTCTATCCGTGATTGCTGGCTGTGAGAAAGACTCCACCTCCTCAGGCCTCCATCATCATGGCGTCCTGCTCTTCTTTCCCCATCTCTCTCCTCTTTTTCTTTCTCCCCCTCCTCCTCTTCTTCCCTCCTCTCTTCTTGAAGAACCCTTCATTCCCTTCCTTCTCTTTTGACGCCTTCTTCCATCATTCCGGGCTCCCATCCCGGTCACGCCATCTCCGTCCCTCCACCCTTCAATGGGTGTGCTCTTAGTCCGTGGTGCCATGCGGTCCGTCTGCTGAGATACTGTGACTTTCCTGCTGCACCATGAAACTCTTCAATCCCCTCCGCCGCTGTGGCCCTGCCCTACAGCGTCTGCGTACATCTCCTGGCGAGTTCTTCGACTACACATGGGAGTTCACACGCCGATATTTCTTCACTGTCTCCTTCATCGCACTTTTTGGCGCCAAATTGTTGCATCTTTACGCTCACATCCATTCTCTCCCTCCTCCTAAATTCTTCCTCTGGGGCTCGACCTTTTTCTTCCAGGATGTAATTCTCACCCTCCTCATCCGCTTTTTCACTCAGAAATTTCACTGGCGCACTGTTGCACTTTTATCAGCTTTGGTGATTGTACCATTTAGGTAGGCTGTGCACATACCAGAAATTGCCTCTCAATCACTGACCAATCTAGTTTAATCATGTCCGGAATGACCGCCGCAAATACCTCCTTTTACATCGTCACCGGTGCCGAAATTCACTGGCGACAAGCCAAAACCTTCCACCGCGATGCCGCTGCCATGCGCACATTGTTGCAGGGACTGACAGGATTCCTGATCGTGGAAGGCATTCTGCTCACTGTAGCATGGTTTCTGTCTGCACCACTGCATCGCGTTGTTGGTGGCATCCTCACAATCCTCGGACAACCATTCAAATGTTTGTTCCGTTGTATGAGCCGGGTTCGTGCGTTCCGCCCGAGATCTGGATTGCCGGAACCCGAGATCTACGAGCAGATCGGCGTGGATGACTATCTCGACGATAAGAGTGACGATGGCTCTTCGATCCACCTTCTCGAGCCATATGGTGAAGTTGCACCTGCCACGAGACGGGGACACTCGATTCTGATCAAGCTGGCCGTCTGGGTGCCATTCCTCAGCTTGGTCTTGCTGCGCGTGGTTCGACCCTGGGATCCCGCCTACATGTTCCTGTCAGAAGCCTTGCCAGTGGCACCCTTCATCGGTGGCCACCGACACTCTCCTGTCCGCGCTGGGGGGCTGCCCGGCGACTATGAGTGGTTGGAGGGTCGCACACCGTTAGACAAGGTACCCAATTGGGACTGGCTGCCCAAGGGAGGATTGCCTGGCTTCGAAGACTGGACCAGGACGGATGTGCCTCGGTTGCACTATAACCCCGAAAGTGATCCGCTGCATGTGCCTAACCTGCAGAACCCGGTGTTGGACTCCTTGCAGGAGGTCCTGTCCAGCGGCAACGTCAACATTAAACATGTTATTCTTATCAAGTTGGAGAGTACCCGGAGCGACGTCTTTCCCCTGCGCAAGGACGCTTTCATGTGGAACCGCATCGCCAAAACTTATTCAGATAAGAAAATCCCCGACGACGTTCAAAAGCTCGTCGCAAATCTTACCCGCACTTCCGAGTTCCTAACCGGCTTTGACGCGGGATTCGGTCACGACAACGAGCATGATTACGGCCGACGGTCATATGGCGGCATCAGTGCCCGCAACGCTTTTACCACGGGCACCTACACCCTGAAGAGTCTTGTCGGGACGGTATGCGGAGTGACGCCACTAGTCGCCGACTTTAACCGCGAATACAACCATCACATCTATCAGCCGTGCATGCCGCATATCCTGGATGCATTAAACCACCAGGATGATGTGGATACTAACCCCACCACTGATCAATCCGACTACCGCACCTGGCCATGGCATTCGGCATGGATGCAGTCCGTCACCGAGGGCTATGATAATCAGGACAAGCTCACACCGAAATTAGGATTCCATGACGTGGTGACCAAAGAGTCTTTGGAACAGGCGAATGCAACGCATTCCGCCTCCTCGTCGAAGGAGGTCAACTATTATGGATACCCTGATATGGTACTGGGCGACTACGTGCGCGATGCGCTCGACGATGCCGAACACAACCACCGCCGGCTGTTCCTGACGCATCTGACTGGCACAACGCACCACCCGTGGGGAATGCCCGACAACGCATATGAGGAGATGGTGTCGTCGAAGAACACCAACTCCAACGAGGATATCAACAAATACCTGAACACGATTGGATATATCGACGACTGGCTGCAGGAGATTATCGACATCCTGACCGAGAAGGGCGTTATCAACGAGACATTGCTCGTGATGGCTGGTGATCAGTAAGTTGTTCTCCATCCTTCCATGTGTCGCATACTAACCGGGACAGTGGTCTCTCCCTTCCGAATGATGGAGGTGTCACCCCATACGATAACCCCCACATCGGCAGCTTCCACATTCCAATGGTGTTTGCTCATCCTCATCTTCCATCCATTGAAGTCAACACCCCAGTCATCACTCAACAAGTGGTCCCTACCATTCTGGACCTGCTGATCCAGTCGTCCTCGCTGGGGCCCAACAGCACCCACACTGCGCAGGATCTGCTTTCCATTTACGAAGGCCAGTCGATGATCCGCGAGCTCGTCCCGGAAATGGACGGCCGCCAGAACTGGCAATTCACCGTCATGAACACTGGTGGTTCATGGCTGGCAGTGCGGTCCGCTGCCCATCCCGAATACCGACTGGTGATTCCCCTGGTCGACGACGTCGAGTGGCGGTTCACAAACGTTGGGCAGGATCCGGAGGAGCAGCACCCGGTGACGGAGTTCAACCTGGTCGATCTTGCCAAGAGGCTGGAGAAGGAACACGGCAGTGATGCGGTGGATTGGGTGCGTGATGCCGCCCATGTGGCAGAGTGGTGGGTGATGGAGAACTGGCATTTGTACCAATATCATCCCAAACATTAGGATGTTACGACCTACGCGAGGATCAGTTGAAGTGAAACATTTGTACATAGTCTTGGATGATATCATGATATCAGACATTTGCAGCATTTGGCGTTTATGCTGTATTTCACTGGCGCGCTGCTTTACCCATACAATCTTTCTCGAGATTAACTTGACCCTTTGTTATGCACCTTGCAGTCTCCTATTGACAGCGATTACCTAGAATGTCGTTACTAAGATCAATCTAAAGCCTAGTTCCTCGGCGCCCAGATCTTGATCTACCGTAGGGCCAGATGGAGATGTTTGCAGATCGTTATTCGGTGTTGGTTTGACTTGGCAGTGTTGGGCACCACATTATCTGAATCCCAATTGGACCATAGATAGGACTGCAATTCATCATATGTATGCATATGCTGTACTCGGGTATGGTCATCTCAGAATACATCAACAGTTCACCGCTTTTACCGCATAACAGCACTTAAATGCCTCAGGCATCAAATTATCACGTGCTTCCGATAGCGGCCCCTGAACCAAACCTCACCTCATCCAAGCCAGGGATATCATCATCCCCGAAGCTTATCAGTCCATTGCGGCGCCACACGATAAGCTATCCAGGAACACCGTCGGCCTACCTATCACTATGTGTGCTCTACACACTAGCTTCATCCTTCGCGCAGCCTTTACCAGCTAGCTGGATGATGGTACATGATTCACCATGAGTCATGCAACAGTAACCATGCATCCATCAACATGATGGTCAAAATATCCTCAACATCATGAGGATACTACTACTATATAAATCACAATGACAGCCATAATCACCATGGCCTACATACCCCCGGCGAACCGCTCCCACCCACCCTAGCCCATGACCACGACATCGACAACACCAACAATGACGACCACCTCCACCCTCCCGCCGCCCATCCCCTCAACCAGCATACTCACCCTCCTCACCACGCTCGCCCTCCCCCCACCAACAACCATAAACCCCCTCCCCGTCTCCGCGGCCTTCCACACAATCTACCTCATCCAGTACTCCCCCTCCGCCGCCGCATCCGCCACACCCCCAATCCGCGCCCGCGCAGACCCCTCCGACGGGAGCATCACCCTTGTGCTGCGCATCTCGGGGACCCAAATCCCCCGGATAAAGACCCTCAATGAAGTGGGTGTAATGACCTGGGTGCGACGGAACACTTCCATCCCCGTCCCCGCGGTGATTGCCTACTCCGCGAGTCGGGACAATCCCCTCGGGTATGAGTTTACCTTGTTGGAGCGGGTGCCAGGGGTGTCTGTTGCGGAGGTGTATGAGGGTCTTGATGAGGGAAGGAAGAGGAGGTTGGTGGAACAGGTGGCGGGGTTTGTGGGGGAGTTGCATGATAAGCCCTGGGAGGGGGGGTATGTGGGTGGACTGCAGTTAGCAGCCCATGGTGCTGATGATGGGGAGGAGGAGGAGAGGATGGAGATAGTGCGTAGTCCGCCTATTGAGGAGACGTATTGGCAGACGCAGGATGTGGAGACATATTGGGCTGGAATGGGTGAAACGCTGGAAACGCTGAATCCGTTCAAGAGTGATGGGTATGCGAGTTACACGGAGTATAACATTGCGTGTGTGGAGCGGTATATACATGCTATATCCGTTCATCCATCACTATCCACACACAGGGGTTTAATCCCCCGGTTGGAGCAGTTCATCTCATTTATTGGGTCTGATGCCAAATTGAATGATGTGCCTTATGTGTTGGCTCACAAAGACCTTCATTTCGCGAATATCATGTGCGATCCATCGTCTCCCGAATGTCCTATCACCGGCATCCTGGACTGGGAGTTCGCGAGCGTGGTGCCGGCGCCGCGGTGGAATCCGGTGCGGGCGTTCCTGTGGAATTATCGGTATAGGATGGAGGATAAGGCGGAGAGGGATCGGTTGGAGGGGGTGTTTGAGGAGGTGTGTAAGAGTAGGGGGCAGGGGTGGGTGTTGGAAGGGATGAAGTTGAGTGAGAGGCAGGAGGGGATGCAGAGGGTGGTGAATCATGTTAGGGCTATTGTGGAGGTGGGTGTGAAGGGGGCGGGGGAGGAAAGGGAGGGGAAGGTGAGGGGGTGGAGGGAGATGGTGGAGGAGGGATTGAAGTTATTCAATGTGTGAGTAGTCATGGGATGTGTGTATACTACTTATGTACCTCTAGCAGCTCAATCCTGGGATATTACAATTGAATGTACATGCATTAACACTCCATATACAATCTCTATAATACATATACAGTAAGTATAATCACAACTTCGCCTCCCTCTCCAACTTCTTCAACTCCCTCCTCAAAATCTTCCCGGACGGATTCCTCGGAATACTCTCCACAAACCTCACACCCCCCCTCAACCTCTTATACCCAATTACCCTCTTCTCCACGAACTCCACGATCTCCCTCTCCAACCCCTCACCCCCCTTCCCAACAACATCCCCCTTAACAACAACATAAGCCCTCGGCAACTCACTTCCCGCCAACCCGCTCTTCACCCCAACAACCCCCACATCCTTCACAGCCGGATGCCCCAGAACAATCCCTTCCAACTCAGCCGGCGCGACTTGAAACCCATTATACTTGATCAACTCCTTAACGCGATCGGTGATATAAAAGTTCCCTGCTTCATCCTCGTACCCCACATCACCAGTCTTGTAATATCCGTCTTCGGAAAAGGATTCCTTATTCGCGGTGGGGTTGTTCAGATACCCGAGAAAGACGTTGGGGCCCTTCACCCAGAGTTCTTTCTCTTTGTTATCTCCGTCGTGAATGGGATGGTATTTGGCTGTCATGTTGGGGATAAGTCGCCCGACGGAGCCGGGGTGGGTGTGGGCTTCCGACCAGGTCTATCTTTTGTTAACATTGTGGTGTGATGTGATGGGGGGAAAGAGTGGGAATGTACCTGAAAATGAACAGCCGGCGCACACTCGCTCATCCCATATGCCTGACGAACCACAAGACCCAACTTCTGCTTCGCAGCGTGGATCAAATCCACAGCTAGTGGTGCCGCAGCAGATACCACCATGCGCAAGGAGGAAAGGTCGTAGTTCTTAGTGGCAGCGTTGGAGACCAGCTCCAGAATAACGGGGGGCACGACGTAGGCGTACGTGATGCGATGGCGCTGGATGGTATCGCAGAACGAGGGGAATTGGAAGCGCGGGAGGACGTACATGGGTACGCCGGTGTAGACTGTGTAGTTGAGGAGGAAGCCGATTCCTATGACCCAATTAATCAGTATATTGGCGGGAGTGAGAAGTGGGAGGGCGAGAAGGGGGAATACCATAGATATGAAAGAACGGCAGAATGCCCAGAATGCGATCTTGGTTCCAGACCAGCTGGCCCTGCTCGGCAACGGCACTTTGCACCATGTTGGCGACCATGTTGCGGTGCGAGAGCATGACGCCCTTAGGTAGGCCGGTCGTTCCGGAGGAGTAGACCAGGAAAGAGAGGTCTTTTTCGGGGTTCTGGATCGGGGGACGGTGCGGTGCGACGTAGTCTGTGTCTTTGATAGTCGCCCATAGTGGATCCAGTTGATCGAGAAGGATGACACGGTCGCGGGGGAGGCCGGCACGGTCAATGGCTTCGTATACGATTGGGGCTTGCGCGGTGGTAGTGACGATGGCTTTGGCGGCTGCATCGATCAACGGATGGCGCAGTTCTTCGGCGCGATAGCTGGGATTGACCGGGCAGACGACACCGCCGATGGTCAGGGTACCCCAGATCAGCGGGGGCAGGTCAATGGCATTCGGGGCGAAGACGACGAGCACGTCGCCCGGTTGCCAGGACCATTTGAATTGGAGGTGGTGGCCAAAGTGGAGGGCGCGTTGGCGGATTTGTTGGAAGGAGAGGCTGCGGTTGGAGAGGGGGTCTACGAAGAGGGCTGTATGGGATTAGAATTGTTGATATCTGGCATGATGCGATAGTGGAGAACGTACGGTGGGAGAGTGGATACGGGCGATCTGAACGCTCGAAGAGAAATGACCAGAGGTCGGTGGAGGGGATCTCCACGTCGGGGAAGGGAGATACGGAGATGGTAGCCATTGCGTAGCACAAGTCGAAGTTAGATGAAATGAATTGGGGCAGGGGACTGAAGGAATAATAAATATTGGACTAGTTTGATTAAGCCCGGGGCTGTCATGCAAGAAAGTGGATCATGTAGCTTCACGGGCCATCTCTTTGTTGCCTTCACAACGGAAATGAAAGCCGGCAGACTGCACTCACAGCAGTTTCCTTTCCCTTTCTACTGATCGGGATTACTTCTCCGTTATCAATTCATTATTTCCAATGATGGAATCACAATTGGCCTGGCCACATACTCTGTAGTATGGGCAGCGTGGTGATGTGCATGCACCGAGGCGACGGCATGATCGGGCCGAGGTGATGCTGGGATGACTTGCTATCGCCGGGCCATCCGAGTGATCGTCAATACGAGATCATCCTATCACAGTGTATGTAGGCTAACACAGCAGCAGTTCATCTGCAGCTTATCTTCAGGTCGCATTTAATATACTCCGACCAGCCGAGCTGAGTCCGTGGCGAAGGCTCACTATCCTGCCATTGTCGGTCCAGGATCAATGCTGTTGACCAACCCTAACAATCTGCAGGACAGACCAGTGCAGTCTTTATTGCATGGTGAAGTAAACAGCATCCAGTAAAATGCAATCTTCGATGCAATATCCATGCATTGTCCACTTCCTCATATGGCACGATCTGCGGTCTTTGGATTTCAATTAGGATTCAATGAATTGTTCTGTCTGTATTATCGCCAGATCATCGGTCCACCTCAGCCGCATTTTCACATGCAACGTCAGCCGCAGTCCCCATCCACAGACTAGATCTGACCCTCGACAATTGGATTGATTTGATCAGACTAACCATGGTCTTGCATAACGTGAGCTAACTAGTGTAGCTCAAACAATTAATGCATCCCCGAGACATAGCCAGTGTGTAACGGGCAAGTTGTTGCACCTTCCCGTGTGGTGAGGGCCGTAGCTCAGTATCCACCATGTGACTTTGTCTTCATCTGAGAGTATTGTCTGATCAGACTAACAAATGGAAATTGTCTTCTGTTCTCAAATCATTGGCAGACAGACGAACAGGTCTATGGCCCGAGTTATATCTGCTCTCTCGGATATTATAAGCAGGCATTGTGAACAGTATGCACATTGATTGACGTGCTCAGCACGAAATGATACGGATTCTATGGATTGTGCTTTTATATACATTAAATCGCCTCCCATTAGTCGTCGAGTCA